TAAGTTGGATGGGTGCTGATCAAGGCTGTGAACCGACGGCGAGACGGTCAATGGCGTGCACCACAGGCTGGAAAGTTCTGCTCTGACCTCTAGATGTTTTACACAGATAGCTGTGGGCTGAGGCGTTGGTGGGCTCCACCTGTTCCGGACTGCCCACACCCTTCACAGCCTCCAAGCCTTTGCAGGGCTATTCCTCTTCCTGGAGCATCTTTCCTGAACCGCCCCAGTCATCGGGTCTCTCTTCAAACGTCACCTCCCATCACCCTCTCCAAGTCACTCTCCTTTAATTCCTTCTCCCCATCCTCCAGAGTCTAGCATTGGTTTATTTATTTGTTTGTTCCCTTCCTCACCTCCACCCTCCATGGAATGTCAGGTCTATAAGAGCAACGATCTCTGCTCAATTCCCAGAGTCTAGAACAGTGCCTGGCACCGAGGAGGTGTTCAGTGAATACTTACTGACTCCATGGAGTAGGCAGGTTCAGACAGCTTTTTAAAGCCACCTCTATGGATTTTTCTCTCCTCGTTTGTCAAAGGGGGAAGGGAACTCCTCTGCAGCCCTTTTCGAAAAGGCATTGTTATTCCCATAAACCGAATCCTTAGCTGAGCCTTGTAGGTTTCTGGTCAGATGCAACACTGACTGTGGCCAGTGGGTGGAAGCAAATCACTATGGCTGAACCATGACAAAGCCTGGGCCAGTCAGTGCTCAGAACACCTGAAATTTAATCTCCCAACAGCCAAGCTTGTTATATATATATAATATATATATATATATGTATGTATGTGTATATGTACATTTGAGAAGCATTTATATATATATTTGAGAAGCAAGACTTTTTTAAACGTAGTGTGCTCACCCCTGCGGCCCTAAAGGAAAAACACTGAACTGCTTTTGAAGTCAAATCCCAGCTCTGTCATTTACCAGCGAGGTGACCCCAGGGTTTGCCTCTCTAAAGAGGGGGTATTATTTGCTCACTGGGTCATTATGAGTCTCCAGCAGGTAAAGGCTGTGGAAAGCAGCATGTGGGCTCAGGAAAAGGCTTTGAGGACTGCAGGTGGAGCCTGGACCTGCAGAGATCCCCCCAGGAGCACCTCATTCTCTAAGCCGTCTCCACCTGCCTAGCTCTCCTCCTCCCCAACGACCTCCACTCATTCTGCATCTGCACCCACAGAGCAGGTGCCCACGTGCTGCAGACAAAACGCACCGCATGGTGGGCCCCCCACAAACCTCGAGGGGGCACCTGCGCCGGCACTGCCCCCCATTTCACTGGTCCCTTCGTCCTCCCACGCTTCTTGTCCCTTTCGCACTCCGCCCCTCTCCTGAGAACACCAGGACCCTCTCCCGCCTCCTTGCTCCCACCACGTTCTTGCTTCTTATTCCGCTAAGAAACAAACCACCAGTAGAGAGTTCCGTGTTCTCCCAGCCACCTGCCCGCCCCCGGGGAGGCCCCGGGGGGGGTTCCCATCTGGGCGCACCCCCACTCAGTCCCCCACCCCACCCCAGAGCTCAGGACGCTAACCCACCCCCCCCGCCCACGGAGTTGCTTGGCCACTGTCGCCTCTCGTTCTGTCTTATCTTGCCCTCTGTCAGTCATCCCGATGAGCCTACAAACAAGCTGTAATATCGCTCATCTCAAACCTTCCTTGACCTACAGGCGCCTCTTCCAGCAACCCTCCCATTTCCTGCTCCTCTTATAGCACAACCAGCTTCCTGGAAGGTGCCCACACCCCATCCTCTCCGGACCCCACTTCCACCAACCTTCCCAGGCGTTAAAACCCGCTGGTTAAGATCACCGATGACCTCCGTCTCCCCAACGTCGTTCTCAGCCCTCACCTCACCCACTCGGGAGTCCTGGGCACAGAGCTGACGGCTGCCGCCTTGGAATATTTCTCCTTTCAGTTCCCAGGACTTGTGTCAACTCTCTGCATATTCACTTCCTGGCTGGGCTGGGCAGTCCCAGGGATGGAAAGTCCAACCAGTGTGGACCACGCCCCATGGACGGTCATATCTCCCCTCCCGACCTCTGCCCCGAAACCTGATGCTTGTATCTGACTTCATTTGGAAGTTGGGTAGGCTTCTCACATGTGACTTTTCCAAAACAGAACTCTCCATTTTAATCCCTCTAACCCGCTTCTTCTCCCTCTCTGCATCTGCATCTGTGTACCGCAGCCACGGCCCAAAGCCCTGGAGTTGTCCTGGACTCCTCTCTTGGCCTCTTACCCCACCTCTGACCTCTTCAGAAAGTTCTCTCCTCTTGACCTTTGCAGTCCCTGCTGAACCTGGTGCAACTCACCATCTGTACTGTGACCACTGTCATTTCCCAGGACTGGCAGGAGCCCCTCAACTTCTCTCTACATCCTGTCACGCTATTCACCTGCCCAAACCTGCCAGGGCCTCCCCAGCCCCTTCCCCACCTTCTCCCCCTCAGAGCAAAGTCAGATCCCTGACTCACCTGAAGCTTGATGAGATCAGCCCCCCCAATCCTCCTCCTGCCTCAACTGCCAACACGTCCCCTCACTCACTCTGCTCACCCATACGGGCTTCTTGCCTGTGAGGGAACACTGTCCATCCCAGGCCTTGGACTTGCTGTTTCCAAAGCCTGGAACTCTCTGACTCAGGTAACCACAAGCTCCCTTCAGATCTCTGCTCACCTGTATGTCCTCAGAGAGGCCTCCCCACTCCCCTCTATCTAAAATAGCACTGTCTTCTATTGCTTACTGGCCCCTTGCTTCACAGCACTTATTGCTTCCATTTCATTTTATTATTGATTTAGGGGTTTGTTTATGTGCCTTTTCCAACCAGAAAGTTAGCTCCACGAACTTGAATTCTTGTCCATCTTGTTCATCTTCTGTCACCTGTACCTAGAACAGTGCCAGATGTGGTCTAGGCCCTTGCATTTTATTTTATGGATGGATGGATGAGTAGATGGATCAATGGTGAATGGACAGATGGATGGATGGATGGATGGATGGATGGACGGGTGGATGGATGGTTAGATGGATGGATGGATAGATGGATGGGCGCAGGGGTGAATAGGTGGGTGGATGGATGGTAAGATGGATGGATGGATAGATGGATGGGTGGAGGGGTGAAAGATGGATGCATGGATGGATAGATAGGTGGATGGATAGATGGTTGGGTGGATAGGTGGATGGATGGATAGATGGATGGTTGGAAGGATAGATGGGTGGATGGATGGATGGATCTCCACAATCACACAGTACAATGCCCAAAGGGCAAAACATAGAACACACCAAAATCTCTTGCATCTGAATAAAACTTTATTTTTTCCCTAAAGCCCACTCATATTTGTACTTCCAGACACCACTGGGGAGGTAAGGGTAGATGATTCCACTCTGAATTTTCAGTCTCCGGGAGGAGACACACTATTCAAAGGCTTTCTGAACCTGCCACCTTCCTTGGGTGACATCCGCAGATTCATTCTCTCCTCCTCAGATGTTCGCAGGAGAAATCTCTGTAGCCCAAGTGTGCTAGGAGGTTCCTCTGGTCGTGGTTGAGCTGGGGAGGCTGCAGCAAGACTGATGGGGCTGATTCTGGCGGGTGGGGAGGACCCTTTGCAGAAGCTGAAGATCAGAGAATGTCTTGTTTTATCAGGCGAAGCTTTAAAGGGACACAGGACATGTGTGACTTTGGCTTCTGGGGTCTTCTTTCCCTTCCCCCCCCCCGTAGGAATGTGACCGGCCATTCTGATGTGACTCTATTCCCATCTCTGTCATCTTCCTTCCCTGTAGGATGCATTCTCTTTTTGAGCTCAGAACTCCTCAAATGCTGTTATTTTTCAAGTTTTAGCCTGCCCAGGGGACATGCAGTAGTAGCATTTGCCCTGTTTCTGAGTTGGCTGTGTCCACACCTAGTCCATCCAAGCTCCAAACCTGGGTGTTTCTTAAGGCCAAAGCCAGATCTGAGGCACCCACATGGCCCATTAGTTATGTGGCCAGATGCTGTGCATATTCGCTGAGGATACCCAGACTGTGGGGGCAGGGGTGATCTCTGAGCAGACCAGACCCGGGATCAGGCCCAGCCAGAAGCAAGTGGACGTGAACTGACCTTGAATGAGAATTTGCATTACCTCACTTAATCCTCTCAACAATCCTGCAAGGGGAATACTATCAGCACCCTCACTTCACAGATGAGAAAACTGAAGCTCTGACCACACTGCCAGGATGTGGTGGAGCCTGGATTCCCTCCAGGCTTGTCTGACTACAATGCCAGTGCTCTCTCCACTAGATCAGGAGCCTGTGGTTCACATATACATTTCTGGAACAACGACAAGGATCACTAACAGATTGAAAGGAAGGACAAAAGCATCTCAAGGTTCTGGTCAATGCATGTTGCTGCATATTCCAGGGCATGACCTCCAGGGGCCTCTCTTGTAATAGTGCGGGTTCCTTATACTGCCTCACTCCAGGGTCAAGGGATTAAGGATCAGAGGGGACAGGGTTGGCTGCCAGGAAGAGCTAATTTAGGCTTCAGGCCCACTGTAGACAGATAACAGTTTTGTTCTGTTTTTTAAATTACTCAAAAAGTGTGTTTGTTTATAGATTTTAGAAAACCAGGAGCACTGCACTTTAGACTTCTAGGCAATCATGTTTCATCTTCGTTTGTTCTGTCATTGGCAGAGTAGCAGAGAAAACAGTGTTAAGCTGGGTTCGTGTTTAGTCCCTAAGCCGTATCCGGCTCTTTTGAGACCCCATGAACTGTAGCCCACCAGGCTCCCCTGTCCATGGGATTTTACAGCCAAGAATACTGGAGTGGGTTGCCATTTCCTTCTCCACAGAGGACAGTTTTGAACCTTAGATGTTGCCTCATTTCAGAGGCACCCTAACCCGGCAGTCCCCCAACATTTTTGGCACTAAGGACTGGTTTCCTGGAAGACAGTTCTTCCACGGACCGGGAGTGGCGGGAATGGTTTCAGATGATTCAAGCACATTACATCGATCGCATCACCACCTCAGTCAGCTCCATCTCAGAACATCCGGAGTTAGACTCCTAAAAGGAGAGCGCATGCGCGGTTCATGGTCTGCGCACTAGGGTTCGCGCTCCTATGAGAATGTAATCCCGCCCCTGATCTGACAGGAGGCGGAGCTCAGGTAGTAATACGAGCGATTGGAATTGGCTGTAAGTATAGCTGAAGTTTCTCTCACTCGCCCTCCTCTCACCTCCTGTTCTGCGGCCAGGCCTCCTAACAGGCCACGGACTGGTACTGGCCCATGGCCCGGGGTTGGGGACCCCCGGGGTTGGGGGCCCCTGCGTTGGGGGCCCCTGCCCTAACCTCTGTTTCCTCCACGCTACTCCTCCCCACCAGTCCTGCCCCCAAGCTTCTCTCAGGAGCGCACCGAGGTGACTGGAGCCCCTCTGTTCTGACCGCGTCCAGCACCACAGTGTGGTCTCCAGCAGGCTCCTGTGGAAGGAATGCGCCGGTAAAGGGGTGTTCCAGAGCCCCCTCCACTACCTCAGGAGGCAAACCCCAGGCTGGACCCAGAGGGGGTCCTGGGTCAGGGGCTGTGAGGGAGCCTGGAGTTGATGGGGAAGGGATGCCTGGGGAAGGAACCGGGAGGCAGCTGCAGATGGTCAGAGCAGAGTGGGGCCCGATAGCGGGGGGACCTTGGCCATGAAGCTGAGGGTCAGCTGGGGCCACAGTGCTGCCTGATTCTGCCCACAATGGCATCTACATGTCAGGGCTCTCAGAGCTGCCCAGGTGGTCTACCTTGGACTTACCTGGGGAGAGGTTGTAACAGGGTCAACCCCATAGGCAGAGGCCAGTGTCAAAGGTCAGCCAGACATCTTGGGCTTTGCTGGGGCCAGTGGGGGGACTAGGGTATTTCCGGGGCCTGGGACCCCAGGGCTCAGCCACCAACTCCCCTAAACAAGTTCAGATCTTGGTGAGAGCCGCTCACTGCCCACCCCCTTTCCTCCTCCCCCAGTCACCTGAGCTCAGGTCCCATGGCATAGCAGATGGAGGCGGGAGAGAAGCCATTGAAGGTGGAGCTCATGACAGACGTGTAGGCGCCCATGAACGGGAAGACCAGCCAGTCGCCCACATCCAGCTCTGGCAGCTGCACCTCCTTCAAGAAGAGCTTGTCCAAGGCATCACACGTGGGGCCAAAGAGGGTGCAGGGGAAGAGGGGCGGCTTGGGGCCGAGCTCCTGCAGGGACACGGGGGTGGGAAATCAAAGAAGACCTCTACATACATACACCCCTACCCACTCCTCATCAAGCAGGGCATGCCCCAGGGCACCAGCAGGAAGGACTCTGTCATCCACCCACACTCACCAATTCGTGAATGTTCCCTGTGTGCCAGGCATTGCTCTTAACCCGCCCTCATGGAGCTTGTGCTCTAGAGACTGACTCCAGCCCTGCCAATTCACAAGCGCAAGCACAGATGGGACCTCAGCTTTCCCATCTATAAAATGGGAAGATTTTATTTAATAATCACTCAAAATACTGGGCCTCAAACCTAGCTTCACTGAAAGTGCTTGAGGAGTTTTCACAAAGGATTAGGCCAGGGTCCCAAACCATGAGAAAATCCGATATCAGTGGTCTGGGGCCTGGTCCTGGCAGAGAAGTATTAAAACTTCCCAGGTGATTCTAATGTGAAGCAAAGTTTGAGAATCTCTATTTTCTAAGTCTCCTGCATCTCCAAGATTCAAGGACTCCAGAACAACAAACAGACCGAAAGACAGACAGCCAAAGAGAAGCATACACCCCTCCACAGACCCATGGACCTAAACACTGGTCTTCCTGCATAGGTGTGAATTGCCAGGCCCACACAGAAGTGCACATGCCAACACACACAGACACACACGCACATCCTGGCACACGCAGAAGGCGTGGCAATCCACCAAGCCACCAACAATCTGAGATCCTTCGCCTCTCCCACTGGTAGCAGGGAATCCTGCCCAGGGGGGGCTGAACCAAGTGGTCTCAAGGCCTAGGAGGTGCCAGAGCCATGAAACCTTCTCCTTACCTTCACCACAATGGGCATCCTAGGTTCAGGCTCCCTGGGAAAGATGTGGAATGTGCCGTAGTGGCCATCATTGAGATAGTACAGCAGCTTCTGGCGGCCTCCTGAGGGCGGGGAGAGGGCGGGACTGAGCTGTGCTCAGCCAGGGCTGACCCTCAACACCCTCCCCCAGTGCCTGTCGGGGAGCCCCGACCCTCTGCCCAGCACTGGATAGCCCCTGTTCCCTGCTCCAGGAGTCCTCTCTGAGCCCACGGACAGTTGGGGCCTGCGCTCCCATGGCCCCTCCACTCGCCGCCCCCATCCGTCAGTGGTCCCCTCTGCTCGTCTTCATCTTCCTCTTCCAAATTAGAATAATCTAACTGGACCTCCTTAGTGGTCCAATGGTTAAGAATCCACCTGCCGATTCAGGGAATACAGGTTTGATCCCTGGTCTGGGAAGAACCCACATGCCGTGGAGCAGCTAAGCCTGTGCGCCAGACTACTGAGCCCGCGCTCTAGAGCCTGCGAGCTGCGAGCAGAAGCCCTGTGCCTGCAGCCCGTGCTCCAGGGCCAGAGCAGTCCCCGCACAACTAGAGAACAGGCCCCACCTGCCAAAACTAGAGAAAGCCTGCATGCAGCACCGAAGACCCAGCACAGCCAATAAAGAAAGAATAAATCTAACATACCATATAACCCAAGCATTGTTCTAAGTTCTCCACATGTATTAAACTATCTAATCCTCCTAACTACACTCTGAGCGGGTTCAGTGAGCCCTACTTCACGGTTGAGAAAACAGTCTTGTCAGCAGTCACGTAGGAGACTGTGGCAGGGCTGGGTTTGCCCCCAGATTGCAGGTCTCATGTTCTCTGCCCTCCCCTTAGACCAGGTGCCCTGAGCACCTGCTGCCCAAACTGGGAGCAAATGGTCTTTTCCTGACTTGATTCCATCATGGTTGGCCCTTAGTGATGTGCTAATTCATCAATTTCCTTCCTCAAAGGGGTGCCTGCCTAAACTACATTTTCTTATTTTCTATATTCTTTTTTTCCCCTATATTCTTGATGCTCCAGCATCTGGGGCCTTGCTGACCCTGGTGAGACTGCTCTTCCCCAGGCTGGTTAATTTCTAGAGACAGCAAACAACTGCCTTGCAACTATGCCTTGCCCATGCAAGCCAACCGATCCAATGTCCCAATGACTCCCAGAACTTGAAGCAGTACCTCTGGCCTAATCTCTCTAGGACAGTTCTTACCCCCCACCCACAACCCACTGAAATTACTCAAACGAGCCAATCCCAAACCTGCCAGTCCAACTCACCCCTGCTTTGCTCATTCTGTTCCTCGAAAACCACAACAGAGGCTCCAACCAGTCTTCCGCCTGTGTCCTTCTGTTTCCTTGCCCATCCTGTCCTTCCCCTTGTGGCCCTGCGTGGCCTGCCTCGCCTCTGGGTTCTCCAGAGGAAGCTTTATGGCAGTTATTTCCAGGTCTTACACAAACCGATTAAAACACATCCCAGGTATTATCACCCTGCTTCTTTAACTTACATGCAGAGTACATCATGTGAAATGCTGGGCTGGATGAAGGTCAAGCTGGAATCAACATTGCTAGGAGAAATATCAACAACCTCAGATATATAGATGATACCACTCTAATGGCAGAAAGTGAAGAGGAACTAAAGAGCCTCTTCATGAGGGTGAGAGAGGAAAGTGAAAAAGCTGGCTTGGAGCTCAACGTTCAGGAAAGGGAGGTGAGAGGGAGGTTCAAGAGGGAGGGGACATATGTATCCCTATGGCTGATTAAGGTTGATGTTTGACAGAAACCAACACAATTCTATAAAGCAATTATCTTTCAATTAAAAAAATAAATAAATCTCAACATTCAAAACATGAAGATCATAGGATCTGGTCCCATCTCTTCATGACAAATAGATGGGGGAAAAGCATAAACAGTTACAGATTTTCTTTTCTTGGGGCTCCAAAATCACTGCAGATGGTGACTGCAGTCATGAAATTAAGATGCTTGCTCCTTGGAAGAAAAGCTATGACAAACCTATACAGCATATTGAAAAGAAGAGACATCACTTTGCCAACCAAGGTCCATATAGTCAAAGCTGTGGTTTTTCCAATAGTCATGTGTGGATGTGAGAGTGGGACTGTAAAGAAGGCTGAGCACCAAAGAATTGATGTTTTAGAACTGTGGTGCTGGAGAAGACTCTTGAGAGTCTTTTGGACAGCAAGAAGATCAAACCAGTCAATCCTAAAGGCAATAAACTCTGAATATTCATTGGAAGGACTGAAGCTGAAGCTGCAATACTTTGGCCACTTGATGGGAAGAGCCAACTCCTTGGAAAAGACCCTGATGCTGGGAAAAACTGAGGGCAGGATGAGAAAAGGCGGCAACAGAGAATGAGATAGTTGGATGGCATCATCGACTCAATGGACATAAGCTTGAGCAAGCTCTGGGAGGTGGTGAAGGACAGGAAATCCTGGTGTGCTGCGGTCCATGGAGTCACAAAATCGGACACACCTTAGCAACTGAACAACAACAAAGTACATTTAAAAACATTGCCCTACTCTGACAAGTATGAGGTATAGCACAATTGTTACCTCCCTCCATCTAAAGACTCTGCCTCTATAGATGTTGCCAATGTAAGCGTGTGATAGCTTTCTCTCCAGCACCATCGTACTTCTGATGCATATTGAACTAGTGGTCTTGACCCCCAGATTCTTTGGACAGGACCTACTACCAAGGCAGTTTCTTCACAATCACTCTTTATCTGTTCTTAGGATACTGCTTTATGGAATCTAAACTCAGGATTGTGTGCTGATTTCTGTTAGCATTTGAAGCATTTCATAATATTTGGGCATTTAGATGCCCAGATCTTTCTGAATACTGATTTTCTGCCCTCCCCGCTGACCCTGATGTACTTCCTACCATCCTCTCCCCTCTTTCTTAGTTACCATCACTGAAGCCACAGCCCTGGTTGTCCCTAAACTACTTAGTCATGAGAGGTAGTCAAGACACCCATAAGGTCAAGAGCTCAGGTCTGCTTGGCATGTGGTACAAATCCAAGTGCAAAGGTTTGCGTCAGGCAGACCAGGTCCAGTTGGACCACTGACTAGCTGTGTTGCCTCGGACAAGTTACTTCCTCTCTTTGAGCCTCACTATCTCTGCCTGTAAAATGGGAATGACCCCAAATTACTTTACAGGGTTGTTGAGCAGAAATGAGAGAAAATACATGTTTCACACATAACAGATATTTCATAATTGGCAACTCTTGTTGTTATGGAGACAAAAATGATGAGTCCCCAGGGACTTCCTTGGTGGTCCAACAATTAAGACTGTGCTTCCGCTGCAGGGGGCATGGGTTCAATCCCCGGTCAGGGAACTGAGATACCACATGCCCCATGGGGTAGCCAAAAAAAAAATCACACATACAAAAATTACCCCTTGCCATAATAAAGATGCAAATTTTAAAAATAAGCCCTTAATACTTAGACTTTTGTTAAATGATGGCTTGAAATCATAGGCTTCCTATCACAATATCCTTTAATCAGACGTTTTGTGAAGAAATGCAATCAGCTGACACAAGTGCCCTTGGGATTACAAACCTGTGGGCCAATCATTTGTCAAAAGGATGAGGGAGGAGATTAAAGCAGCTTATACATATTTATATGTCAGTTATCATAAAGCAGCAAAGAATAAAAGCACTGAGCGAGTGGGGAAGATCTATTCATGTTCTCCATCTTATCATGAAATGGAGTTTCTGGTTGGCTCACTTTGTGTGAAAACCAAACGCTGCAAAAATACCAATCTAAAAGAGCTCCTGCGGTGGTTGACCTTGACTGTCAAAGGTTTACCATTACCCTACAGATGTCACGCTTAACCTTCAGGCCATGACGACAATAGTGACTTCTTATATGCACTGTGAGAATTTGCATTTACTCACTATATTTTTGGCGCAGGAATCTGCACCTGTTAGATAATGCTTGCTGGATGAATTTAAGGTGCACACCAGCACGATTTTGTCCATGAACCTCATGGGTTATATTCTGTGACTTTACCTCCATAAACGCCGTATAAATCCATTGGCTACTTAGGAAAAATGAAGGCCCTTCATCTTGGTTCTCACCTCCCAGTCTGAGAACAATAAAATAGTGATACTAACAGGTTCATTCTTATACCCAATTCAAAGCTTGTTTCCTGCTAACTAGGCATTTGGGGGTGGAACCCAGACCCCCTGCCCATCCTCTGCTTCAGGCCCAGGAATGCCTGGACAGTGGCCTGCCCACCCACCGGGCTCCAGCACAGCCTTCTTGGCAATGATGTTGAAAGCCGTCATGCAGACAGATGCTGCATAGAAGCGGCCAGGCTCTGCGATGACCTCGACGCCACTCCCCTCGGGGAAGTCCTGGGCCAGGGCGGCGTTGATCACTCCTGCCACATGCAGGGACAGACCCAGACTTTAACATGGCCAGTCCATCTGAGGGGGCTTCACCTGCACACTCTCCCTTCTTTCCCTTGACAGCTGTGTGGGGAGTCATTATCTCCATTTTACTAGGGAGGAAAGAGGTAGATGCTGTGGTCTTTGGTGGGGAAGTAACTTGTCCAAGGGCACACAGCACCCTGAGATGTCTGAATTTAGGATCACTTAAATTAATACACAGTCAGCAAAGACAAAATGTTCCCCAGGTCTCAAGGATAACAAACTTCTACCTGACTGTAGCTTAAGGGGGGATAGAAACTAACTAACTAACACATCTAAAGAAAGACATGGAGCCAGATACACAAGTGCTCATGTATGTATACAGGCCGTGTAAGTGTAGTCAGACAAAGACCTGTCTACAGAGACAAATCTCAGTTACATACATGCATGCGACTCACAGTTCCATGACCTCCTCATACACAAACAAACACACTCGGTCCCCTGAACCCAAGCTGGAGCACCCGGCTCCCTCTCATCCTCCCCATCACCTCCTCAAACTCAGGGTTGGAGCCTTCCTCTCCGGGGAAGCCCCCTCCGATGTCCAGGAAGCTCATGTCATGCCCAGTCCTGCTGCCCATCTCAAACACGCGTCGGCAGTCGGTGATGGCCTTCATGAAGTTATGGGGTGTCTGGCATCTTGAGCCCACATGGAAGCTGAACACACATCAAGTGACATGTAGAGAAACACCCGTGAAAAAGCAAAGGTCAGTAGGAAGAGAAACATAGCCAGAAACACCGAAGCATGGTCATCCTTGAGTTGGAGCACTCAAGACTGTGTGGTGGTCCCCTCTCCTAGCAGCCCCTTCCCAGTGCCCCATGGCAGGGCCTTCCCTTCTCCTCCCCCTTGGAAGGTGTGTGCTCAGACCCTGAATCCCCATGCCTGTGAGGAGGGCCAAGTCCGGTGAGGCCAGTGCAAAATTTCAAGGGGGTGCCACAATACTAAATTATCAAGATAAAGAACATTTAATGTAATTGTTGTAAAGAGCAAAACTGATTTAGAAACATCTGCAATGATGTAAATAAAGACAAGATTAGTAACAGTAGGGACTTCCCTGGTGGTCCAGTAGTTAACAATCCACCTTGCAATACAGCGGACACAGTCAGTCCCTGATGCGGGAGCTAAGATTCCACATGCTGCAACTCCTAAGCCCACACGCCACAACTAGAGTCTGTGCTCTGAAACCAAAGATCCCACGTGACACAACTAAGGCCCAACAAAGCCAAATTAAATAAACACTTAAAAAAAAAAGAATAAGGGTGCTTTATATATACAGAAGTGGTAACAGTAATTGAACCCTGAAGCAAAAGGAAAAATGAGAAATGCCAATCCTGTCTTTAGTTAAAGTTTTTATATTTTTCACATCATGATTTTTCTGCATTAGTTTTTATTTTTTAAAATACTGTATTCAGTTCAGTTCAGTTGCTAAAATATAATTTATCTAGAGTACTAACTTTTTTAACATCCCCTTAAATTCTGCACCCAAGGCCTTTGCCTCTTTTGCCCCACCCTAATCCCAGATAACAGCCAGCTTCTTCGCTGAGAACAGAGAAGCTTCATGAGGCCCAGAGGGGCTTCGACTGACCAGAGCATACCCAGGAAGCCAAAGGCTGGAGGTAGACAGTGGAAACTTTGTCAAGAGAACGCACTGGTCATAGAAAACACTCTCTTCCAACAACATGAGACAATGCTACACATGGATATCACCAGATAGTCAATACTGAAATCAGATTAATTATATCCTCTGCAGCTGAAAATGGAGAAGCTCTATATGTTCAGCAAAAGGAAGACCTGGACCTGGCTATGGCTCAGATCATGAGCTTAGAGCAAATTTCAGGCTTAAATTGAATAAAGTAGGGAAAACCACTAGGTCGTTCAGGTATGACCTAAATCAAATCCCTGATGGTTATACAGTAGAAGTGACAAATAGATTCAAGAGATTAGATCTGATAGAGTGCTTGAAGAACTATGGATGAAGGTTCATGACATCGTTGAGGAGGCAGTAAGAAGACAAGTAAGAAAACAAGAAAAAGAAATATAAAAGGACAAAGTGATTGTCTGAGGAGGCCTTACAAATAGTTGAGATAAAAAGAGAAGTGAAAAGCAAGGGAGAAATGGAAAGATGTACCCAACTGAATGCAGAGCTCCAGAGCATAGCAAGGAAAGAAAAGAAAGCCTTCCTAAGTGAACAATGAAAAGAAACAGAGGAAAACAATAGAATGGGAAAGACTAGAAATCTCTTCAAGAAAATTGGAGACATCAAGGGAACATTTCGTACAAGGATGGGCGTGATAAAGAACAGAAACGGTTAGGACCTAACAGAAGCAGAAGAGATTAAGAGGTGGCAAGAACACACAGAAGAACTATACCAAAAATGTCTTAGTGCCCCAGATAGCCACGATGGTGTGGTCACTTATGCAGAGCCAGACATCCTGGAGGGTGAAGTTAAGTGGGCCTTAAAAAGCATTACTATGAACAAAGCTAGTGGAGGTGATGGAATTCCAGCTGAGCTATTTCAAATCATAAAGATGATGCTATTAAAGTTCTGCACTCAATATGCCAGTAAATTTGGAAAATTCAGCAGTGGCCACAGGACTGGAAAAGGTCTGTTTTCATTCCAATCCCAAAGAAGGGCAGTGCCAAAGAATGTTTGAACTATCGCACAATTGCACTCATTTCACATGCTAGCAAAGCAGTGCTCAAAATCCTTCAAGGTAGGCTTCAGCAGTACGTGAACCAAGAACTTCCAGATGTACAAGCTGGGTTTAGAAAAGGCAGAGGAATTAGAGACCAAATTGTCGACATCCATTGGATCATAGAGAAAGCAAGGGAATTCAAGGAAAACATCTACATCTGCTTCATTGACTATGTTAAAGCCTTTGACTGTGTAGATCACAACAACCTGTGGAAAATTCTTCAAGAGATGGGAATACCAGACCTCCTTACCTGCCTCCTGAGAAACCTGTACACAGGTTAAGAAGCAACAGTCAGTACAGGACATGGAAAAATGGACTGATTCAAAATTGGGAAAGGAGTATAACAAGGTTGTATATCATCACCCTGCTTATTTAACTTATATGCAGAATACATCATTTGAAATGTTGGACTGGATGTATCACAAACTGAAATCAAGATTTCCCGAAGAAATACAACAACCTCAGATATGTAGATGATACCATCTATTGGCAGTAAGTGAAGAGAAACTAAAGAGCCTCTTGATGAGGGTGAAAAGGGAGAGTGAAAAAACTGACTTAAAACTCAACATTCAAAAAACTAAGATCATGGTATCCAGTCCCATCACTTCATGACAAATAGAAGGGGAAAAAGTGGAAGCAGTGACAGACTTTATTTTCTTGGGCTCCAAAATCACTTCGAATGGTGACTGCAGCCTTGAAATTTAAAGGTGCTTGCTCCTTGGAAGAAAAGCTATGACAAACCTAGACAGTGTGTTAAAAAGCAGAGACATCACTTTACCGACAAAGGTCTGTATAGTCAAAGCTATGGTTTTTCCAGCAGTCATGTGTGGATGTGAGAGTTGGACCATAAAGAAAGTTGAAGAATTGATGCTTTCAAATTGTGGTGCTCAAGAAGACTCTTGAGAGTCCCTTGGACTGCAAGGATATCAAACCAGTCAATCCTAAAGAAAATAAACCCTGAATTTTCATTGGCAGGACTGATGCTGAAGCTGAAGCTCCAATACTTCGGCCACCAGATGTGAAGAGCTGACTCCTTAGAAAAGACCCTGATGCTGGGAAAGATTGAAGGCAGGAGAAGGGGGCAACCTGATGAGATGGTTGGATGACATCACTGGCTCAATGGACATGAATTTGAGCAAACTCCAGGAGATAGTGATGGACAGGGAAGTCTGGTGTGCTGCAGTCCACGGGGTCACAAAGAATCAGACACAACTTAGCGACTGAATAACAACAACAACGGACAATAGAAACCAAGACTCCTGCCTCCTCCTTTCCAAGCAGGGAAAGCCAGTGCGCTCACCTGGTTCCAACCATTGCCAACCCCAGGTCCCTGGCAGACTTGAGCAGATGTTCACACACCTCCAGCCTGGCCCCAAACTTCAAGCTCAGGGGAAAGATGCTGTCATTGTCCTGGGTCCACAGCCGGAGGACCAGCCTGGGAGAGGGGTGCAAAGGGCATCAGAATTTCTTAGGCACATGAGCCCCGAGGCCCCCCATCCTACCTCCTTCCAGCTTCCCATCCACTTCTGCCTAGCTCCTCTGGACTGTCCAGCCATAGAGACCCAAAGAGTGAACACACTCACTACCTACAGGCTTCTGTCCAGGCAAGAAAAAGCAGGAAAAGGATAAAATTATAAATACACCTTCTATAGGCCTCCACATTACAGGATCAGAGATGTTAAATAACTTTCCTAAGGTCACACAGCATGTGACAAATGAATCTGAAATGTGATCCCTGGCCTCCCTGACTCCGATACGAGTGTCTTTTCCATAAGGTCAGCTAACGCCAGACCGCCTAGTGCTAGGTTCTGCCCAGTGTCTATGCAGACACAGGCATTGTTTATTTGGCATCAATGGGCACCAGCGAAGGCATCAGGCCACCGACCCAAATTCTTGTACTTTGCTGCTTTGGCCTGTGCCGGTCACCACATGGGTCTGCCTTCATCTGGTTCCGGCAGCCAGTTCCAACTGCCGGGGTCTCAGGTTTAAGGTCCCTTTTTCCACCTGTCTCTACTTGTTTGCACCCATCCCCTGCTGGTCTCACCTGGCCCCAGGATGATGCTGGGACACCTTGATTAGCTCCTCCTCGCTGTCAAACACCAGGAGCTTCACCCCGTGGAGGGCAGCAAAGCGGATGTGGGAGACAGGCTTGCAGGGGTTGGCGCAGAGGATGCGTGAGGGGGCCACGCCCAGGTCCAGCACCTGCTCCAGCTCGCCCTGGCATGGGTGACAGCCAGAGGAGGGGGCTGCCTCGCTGCTCCTCTGCTTTTTGTGGATGGGAACCCTGGGCATGAGCAAAAGGGACTGCCCTTGACTGAACCTCTATTGTGCAATGAGCTGAACATGACTGTGCCCTTTAGGCTTCTAGAATCTTCCAAGTGAAAAGGCTGTGCTAGGACAGGAACAGCATCTGTGTCTTCAAGCTTGTGCTTCCCCTCATTCGCTTAAGCTGTCTGCCTTAGTCACAGGGACCAGTGGGAGGCTGATCCCCCATAGTGCATTCATTTATCCTTTCCCAAACAATTGAGGACTAGGAGTGTCAGCCCTTCTTGAGGAGCTGCAGTCTCCACTCCAGGACCCCCGGCAACTGACCTTTTTCCCCAGGAAGTGCTGGACTTGCGAATGAGTCAGCTGGCCCAGGCTCACCTGGCTGGCACAGTCGAAGTTGGTGCCCAGGGCGGCCAGGGCACGTAGCATCCAGGGGCTGCTGTTGCACTTCACCGCATAGAAGGGTGAGACCCGCGGCAGGGCCTGGCGGAAGACCTGGTGGCGGCTGGCCAGCACGCCCAGGTCGGCCACCGTGAAAGCATCTCGGCAGTCCTGCCAGGACAGTGAAAGAGAAAGAGAAGGCTGGGTAGTGGGTTATCTCAGCTAATCCTCAAAACAACACTATGCAGTAAGTACTATTGCTGTTGCCATTTCAGATATGGAGAAACAAGGTCACTGGCTCAAGGTCACAGAAAAAGCACATGGCTAAGATAGAATTTGATACCAGGTCTTCTAACTCTTTTCCAGTAGTCATGTATGCATGTGAGAGCTGGACCATAAGAAAGCTGAGAGCTGAAGAACTGATACTTTTGTGGTGCTGGAGAAGACTCTTGGGAGTTCCTTGAACTGCAAGGAGATTAAACCAGTTAATCCTAAAGGAAATCAACCCTGACTATTCATTGGAAGGACTGATGCTGAAGCCCCAATACTTTGGCTACCTGATGCGAAGAGCCAATTCACTGGAAAAGACCCTGATGCTGGGAAAGATTGAAAGCAAAAGGAGAAGGGGCTGGCAGAGAATGAGATGGTTAGATAGCATCACCAGCTCAATGAACATAAATCTGAGTGAACTCTGGGAGATAGTGAAGGACAAGGAAGCCTGGTGTGCTACTGTCCAAGGGGTCACAAAGAACTGGACATGACTTAGCAACTGAACAACCACAACTTCTAACTCTTAAAACAGGGGGACAAGAGGGAAACAATCTTTGTAGATCAAGAAGAGGGAAAGACAGCTCCAACCTTCAACCATGCAGCTTGGCACTGGGTAAAACCCTCAAGTGGTGGCATGGGGAGGGAGTTAGAAGGGGACAGAATAATTCTATCACCCCCAGCAGAGCAGAGCTTTGGAATAAGACCTAGGAAACTGACATAAAACCAGAAAACAGAAAGTCTTATTTTTTGCCCACCAAAGCAGGGACTGAGACACCCTCTTCCTTCCCTACTCCCCCCTCCCCTCCCCCTCCCTCTCTACCGAATCAGAGAGCTCCTTGATCTTCTTCAGGACCACGTCCCAGGAAGCTTCTCCAGGCTTCAGGGCAATGAGATCCTTTGCCCATGTGCTTCCAGGGTTTTCTTTACTCTCCTCTGAGTTCCCGATGGGGATGCTCACCCCTGACACTCCAACCAAACCCTCGGCCAGGCGCAGTTTCGACATCCTAAAAAGGGCTGACACTGAGATAAGATCTCTTTCCTCCTCCCAGCTCCCCGCTGGCCCCAGAGCTAGAGTTCTCAGGCTGTAACTTCTCAGGCCTCCCATTCAGCTACCACAGCTCCATGGAGCCCTTGTGAATTTTCCCATCTGTAAAATGGGCCACTGGCTGGGCCCAGCCTGCCGCAGAGACCTGGTAAGGGGCCAAGCAAGACACACAGGCTGTGCACAAGGAATAGAGGCTTGGAATCCTCTTCCAGGCTCCTCCACACAGATGTTCCCATTCACAGATGGGAAAACTGAGGCCAGGAAGGATAAGTGCAGAGTTTCGGGATCTTTAGATTGTAGGGTTCAGAGTCAGGGCCTAGGAGATGATCCAGGTTCAGGGTCCCCATTCTACACACAGGAATGAGAGGCCCAGAGAGAGAAAGGGACTTGATTGAGGTCACCAAATGGTCAGTGGCAGAGCTAGGACTGGCACCTGGGGTCCCTAGACCAGAAATGGACCTGCTGCCAGCCAGGCACCCCTGAGACCAAAGCAAGGGTGGCCTGCAGCCAGGGGCCTTCTGTTCTGGCAGCTGGGACTTGACCTGTACCCCCTAGGGCACACACAGACTCACCTGCTGCCTACTGTGACCTGCTTTCTCAGGCTCAATGTAGGGAGCTGGGATCTGTGGTGTCTGGGCTTGGGGTAAATCCCATGTTAAGAGCAGAACTCAGCCCAGATCACAGGGACCAGCACAAGTACCACCCCGGCCGTCCCTCCAGACCTCAGTCGGCCAGCCCTGCCCACTCAGCCTAGACCTCCCAGACCCTGAGAACTAACTCTCTTTTGTCACCCACACAACAGGATCATATGGACTCTTTGCAACCCCATGGACTATACAGTCCATGGGATTCTCTAGGTCAGAATACTGAAGTGGGTAGCCTTTCCCTTCTCCAGGGATCTTCCCAACCCAGGGATCGAACCCAGGTCTCCTGCATTGCAGGCGGAGTCTTTACCAGCTGAGCCACAAGGAAAGCCCAAGAATACTGGAGTGGGTAGCCTATCCCTTCTCCAGCAGATCTTCCCAATCCAGGAATTGAACCGGGCCTCCTGCATTGCAGGTGGATTCTTTACCAACTGAGCTATCAGGGAAGCCCATGGTGAAGTCAGACTCCAGTTATAAGGGAATGTCAGTGACAATCAGAGTCAAGGACCCTGGGAACCCTGCATCCACCCTTCCCACTTCCTAGATGGAAACACCAAGGGGACCAGAGGTCTCCGGAGGACTCAGCAAACCTGGAGGAGGTCTGGGAGCAGAATCAGGACCTGACTCTAACCACAGGTGGGTTCCACTGCCTCGGAGCGAGGGCTGGTCTCTGCCCTCCACGGCAGCTTTAAATATCTTGCTGGAAGTTTCTCCGAACAGAAAAGTGAGGCTGTTCATCACTCAGGGTCCAGTCACCCTCTCCCTCCCTGACCCCACCCCCTGCTCCATGTGAGCTGCTGAGGGCTCTGTGACCTGCAGGCCCTCCCAGGCTAAAGCTATCACCCTGGAGCCGCCTTGCCTCTAGGATGTCAGCTGTCACTTGCTGCACTTACATCTCACCTCTGTGTTCTGACCAGAGCCTCTGGTGCCTGTTCCAGGAAGGAAGTATAGCCAAGAGCCTGCTCCTGACCTGACTCTTCTCTTCTGCTGGCCTTGCTTGACCCTCTGCTCACTTGAGGCCGCCAACCTTATCTCCTCCCACCAGGGGTCAGTGCCCCCCAACCCCCACCATCTTCAGGCTCTGGGGGCTTAAACATCTAGGAAGGGGCAACAGGTAGGGCCTGGATTGGAGGGAGGGACTCTCTGTAGCACTGGGAGCAAATCTCGTTAATTCTGTCTGTGATTCCAAACAAGATAGTAAAGTCCAGGCAGGACTTCCCTGATGGTCCAGTGGTTAAGAATTCACCTGCCAGTTTGGAGGACACAGGTTTCATCTCTGGTCCAGGAAGATTCCACATGCCTCAGAGCAACTAAACCTGTGTGCCACAACTAATGAAGGCTGCACGCCCAGAGCCTGCACACTGCAGCTACCAGTGAGTAGCCCCTGCTCAATGCAACTAGAGAAAGCCCACGTGCAGCAGTAAAGACCCAGTGCAGCCAAAAATAAATTAACTAATCTTAAAAATTAAAAAGAAAAAGATAATACAGTCCAGGCTTTTATAGAGACCCCCACCTACCCTCACCCCAGACTAATTCAGGTAGAACTCACTTCGAACTCTGCTTCTTGGATGCTGTAAAGATCTCACGTCTGGGGGCCTCAAGATGAGGATAACGTCCACATGGGCCAACAGGGTGCTCGTGAGGATTAAATGTCATGAAATGGAGTAACACCTACAAAGAGTTTAGTCAAGTGCTAGCCTATAGCAGTGATCATGATAATAACTCCAATAACAGACAATATTACTCAGCCCTGGGTAAGTGTCCGGCATTATGCTGAGTACTTTATGTGGATAAGTCATGGAGTCTTCATAGCAGCTCATGAGGCAGGTTCCACCCAGAGACAGATACATGGTCTATGTCGGACGGATAGGCCCCAGCAGGTATCAACCTCAGCACCAGGACAGGCTCAGTACCTGGATTAATGGTGGATAAGAAGCTCCTGATGAGTGGCCTGCCCAATGCACAGGGTGTTGCCAGCCTGGGATGAGGATAGCTGCCCCCTTGCCCTGCACTGAAACCTGTGGGGCCACATGCCTGACCCCAACTTCTTGGCACCAGGCAAATCCCTATGGGCCCAGCTCAGATCCCCATGAAGCAGGGAAGCGCAATTGAAAACCCTTGTCTCCCCGCCAAGCCAAGGTAACTCTCCTACCCCTGGTCCGCCCACAATGACAGGTACATGGGTGAAGCTCGGAATCCTGCTAACATGTGACCATCAGAGACGTGTCAGAACCAGAAGGCCCTGCAACCTCTTCTTCCATCCTATACGTGGGAAAGCTAAGAGACCTGAAGGACAAAAGGGTCAAAAGTCCCCTGGCAAGTTGGTGGTGGGCCTGGTCTTCAGGCCACCAGCCCACGCTGCAGATCCTGGGTGGGTCCTCCATCTCCCCCACTCTGCCCCCCGCCACCTAGGCCCCTCGTCTCCTTGTCTCTCTACCTCATGCAGGCAGCCAGGGCTCACTCCATCACGCCATCCTCCCACCTGCCTCCACCAACCGGGCAGCCCCTCCTCCTTCAGCCTGGACCCACTTTGTGTGGTCCCTGCGCCTCTCCTGCTGGCTGCTCAGTCCAGACCTGGGTAGGCGAGGCACTAAAGACCTCAGGGATACAGAGCCTGGGCCTTCAGTCCTTCCCCTGGGGCAGCTTGAGGAGGGAGGTGCTGTGTCCCTTGAATTGAAGGGGACACAGTTGCGCTTGGGAGGGAGATCAGTTAGCGTCTCACCAGGAAAATCAAACCACTTCAGCTGTTTACAGCAGAGACAATCTAACGTAGAGAATTGTATCCACAGGTTATGGAGCAGCTGAGGGCCAAACAGGGAACAGTGAAGCGCCCTGGATCCCGGCCAGAATTTGCGCCCGTGCCTGGACTGGAGGGGCCAAGGGAAAAGTGAGGTTTCCCAAACTGCAGTCTGTGGTCACTCGGTGGAAGCTGGAACTGTGGAGACACAGCCCTGCCTAGGAAACGACCTGGGACAGAGAGGTGGGGGACACACAGCCTGGTCTCTCCGGTGGCCCCCCAGCCTCCTGCTGGTGGCCCCCAGCAGCTGACCCCTGCCGGAAGCCAGCCCACTCTGGAAGATGGGACACAGTCAGGGAGGGACAGATGGGAAGTGGGGTAGGCAGACCCTGGATGAGCACAGGTGGTGGGAGTCTTCCTAGAGGTAGAGACATTTACCTGAGCCCTCGAGGGTGAGAAGGTACCAGCCAGGCCAATACTGGGAGGAGTGTTCCAGATGTTAGTAACATCTGGTGCAAAGGCTCAGAGATGGGAACAAGCCTGGGCCCCAGATATAGAAAGGAATGCAATGGTGGAAGAAAGAAGGTGGAAATTTGCTGACTTCAAAGCTGATGTATAGTAGAAGTATTAGCCTGATACCACAGATATGAAAATGGTGGGGGAGTGGGTACAAAGCATGACATCCAGAGTACCAAGAATCCTTCTAGTAGAAGGATCTCAAATCTGGATGTGATCGCGAGCAAGCTAGATACTTGGCCCTCTGCTCTTTACCAGCTTCCCCTTTCCCCCAACATGCACAATTCCAAGGACTTGCCAGGTGGCGCTAGTGGTAAAGAACCTGCCTGCCAATGCAGGAGAAATAAGAGATGCAGGTTCAATCCTTGGGTCAGGAAGAACCCCTGGAGGAGGGTATGGCAACCCACTCCAATATTCTTACCTAGAGAACCCCATGGACAGAGGAGCTTGACAGACTACAGTTCATAGGCTTGCAAAGAGTCAGACACGACTGAGGCGACTTAGCACATGCACAGTACAGAACTCCATTTTTCAGTCCATTTCCCAGCCTCTCCAGCTACATACACTATGCAGGTTATGTCCTGCCCTCTCTCTCCATGACTGCCATGCTTGTTTTCTTAGCATGTGTGTTCTCTTTGCTGGGAACACTTCCATCACGTGTTTAAATCATGCTTTCCTTTACGTAAGAAATCGTTTGGTCGGGGTCAGTTTCAACAGTGGGTCAGCTCAGCTGCTGAGGCACCAAAATACCCAGGAAATGAAAGAATCAAAGTCAGAGAAGAAAACTGAGTATCACCAAAACTCAGTATGAGATTGAAAGTCAGACTTTGGTAGGTCACAGGGTTGATACTATGCTCATTCAGTAACTACCCGTGATCACCTTGGCTTCGGGAGCAGCAGGTCTGGTAAGCTGCACAGATTTTGTTTTGCAAGAAAACTGCAAGTTTGGGCAGAGCTGAATTGCTGAAGACAGAAAGGAGAGGTAGAGTCACCAGCAGAGCCTCCTGTTAGCAATAGGTTCATGCTTCTGCCCTTCCTCTGTACAACTTCTTCTGAATGTT